TACTCTCTCTCTCTCTCTCTCTCTCTCTCTCTCTCTCTCTCTCTCTCTCTCTCTCTCTCTCTCTCTCTCTCTCTCTCTTTCTCTGTGTAATTAAAGCAATCAAATGCAAACTTACATATAGTCAGTAATTGTTTTATTGGCAAACTTCTTTATTTATAATCATTATTTTGCAGGTACAATGTTCATTGGTATATAGCACCCATACAAACGCAAAAGTTAATTCTTTTTATATTGCAGAAGGGAAACAAAATTTTTGTCTTAAAACTCGGCAAATTATTTGGTGCATCGTTAGAATCTTTTGCCATGGTAATGATCACTGTACATAATCATACATTTTGATCATTATAATTCAGTATTTTCATATCAAACATATAATATAAAAGATATTTCATTACAGTTAATAAAGTTATCGATGTCATATTTCACTTTTATGTATTCTATGCAGCAGTGAAAATATTTTATTTTACTTATATTGTAAAAATCGGCTACCCGAGGTAATTTCTATAGTTAAAAAATTATTATATTTAAACAAAAAACTTGCATAAATTAAATGATATATTAATACTACCAATCTCATTTTTGCTATTGAAATTAGCATTTGCATTTAATTGAATAAAATATAGTCAATAGATGTTTGCTAAAACAGGATCAAAAACAAAATGTTACAAAAAAAATGATAAGTTAAAATTCATAATTAAATTGAAAGCGTAAATCTTTGACATATTCTATATTTGTAACACTTTATTGTCTAGGGTATTTTCTACATTTCCGATCATTATTTTATAGATTTTATTTATGTTAAAACCAAAAATAACTCGGCAAATGTTCTTATAAAAGATAAAAAGGTTTACGATTGTACGCACAAAACATGAAATAAACGTCGCTAGAAAGAAGCAAGTCGAACTTGCATAGACTTCGATAAAGAAGTCATATATATAAGTATATATATTGTGAGAAATAAATATTTGTTGTATTCTATTCGGCATTCTATTATTTCTTCTCTGGTAAAATTTTCATTATTCACCAAAGGTTATTACTTCAAATCGTACTCAATTCCTCTTTTTCAAAAAATATCGCACAATTTAAATTCAACATTTCATATGTAATTCCAGATATTCACAATCAAATTAGCAAGCAAACAAAATATTTAGTATAATAAAATATTTAATTTAGTTAATTTCATTCACTTGGAAAATAAGCTCAATCATTTTTTACCTACATGTTAATATCTTATACATATACGCCTTGTAATGTTTTTAATAAGAAATAGACAATAAGAAATAATAAAAAATAATAAATAATAAAAAATAAACAACAAGAAATAACAATAATATGAATCATGAGAATCAGCGCTGTGAACAGTGCGCAATTGTATGTTTAATTTTAACCACGTTTATTAAGATTAAATATATAATTGCACAGTTTAATTTTTATTAGCTATATTATTGTCCATTATCTCATATCAAAAATCTGTTTCCTATTAAAATATTAATAGGAAAAAAAATATTTTTAATAAGAAGTTTCCTACACAAGTTTCCTACACAAGTTTTTTCAAAACTACTTTTGATCTTCAAAATTCACATTTTTTCACACGTTTTTATGATGTAAATATATTTAGTAATATGTTTAGTACTTCGTTGCAAACACAGATGATATTGTTCACCTTAGAAAAGTATCAAGGTATTTTAAATATTTCTAGAATTATTTGAAAAGTATCAAGGTATTTTAAATATTTCTAGAATTATTTATAATTAAAATAAATTGCTACAGTAAAAAATATATATTTCGAAATATGTGTAAAATATGTTTTAAAAAGAATGTTTTAGAGAAAAAAGAATAAATACTTACAATTTATGAGTATAGCAATATTGTATTTTATCATTTTTTATTTTACGTGAAATTGACGTAAAACAAATGAACTAAGAATATCTACTAGTAAAAAAACAACTGAACTAAAAGATACTACTAGTAAAAAAACTAAACCTAACTTATGTGCCATCATCTAAAAGAAATACTCTAAAGTTGACCAATAATTTCGAGAGAATTTTAAGAAATATTAATTCTAAAAAGATATGGAAAAGACAATGTTATATAATATGTCTTACCAGTAATAAATTAATAGAATTAATAGTGTAATTAATAGTGTAATAGTTAAAATTTCACCAATAAATTGAGTCATTTCTTTTCTAAACGGACAAATGCAATTTATAAATACCACAAAACGAATGAGACACATTAATGCGTTATGGAAAACTGATGACTATGCTTGCGCAAGCTCCAGTCAGGAAACACACGCAGTACTTTTCTATAAAAAATAAACATCTGTTTAAATTCCCACAATACACTAATAGCTTAATCACCAGCCCTTTTTCATAATTATTAAATTGTGTATATTACAAACTCAAAGTGGCATTTTTTTCTTATAACATTAGGTTTATATTAAATTAGATAATATATGATACAATTTGCAAAAATGATAAATTATAAAATTTTCTATCAATGAGGGAAAACGCACATCTTCGCTGACTTCTTTGTTGTCAAATACGTTTACATACTCGTAGAATAATGATCTGTATTACAGCCAGATACTTTAGTCTCAATAAAATTCTATTACTCGCTCTTGGTTTATGGCCTTATTATCAATCAAATTTTGTTCGATTTCAAATTGTTTTAATTCTTGGTATTTTAATAAGTTTTATTATATTTCAGGTATTGTAAATAATATTTCGCTTTTTTAATTGTCTCATGTAATAAGCTACTATGAAAGTTACTAATCGTAGTAATAATTGGTTTCCGTTTATAATCGCTTCAAATATTAATAAAAATGATATAGCTGCTTATAATTATAATTATAAAAGTTTTATTATACAGCAGATTATTTTAAATTTTTAAAAATTTTTATCATAATTCACTAAACAAATAAAAAAACGGTTATTTAATGCATTTTCAGTTTAATGCATTTCTTTTACAGTTTACAATATTTCTGACTGCAGAATGCACTTCTCTCCTTATAATAAAACTTCTTTCTTTCTCTACTTTTTTCATTATGTATATAATAAAATATAATTCATTTTGGATTAACTCCGATAATGTAAGTTGAGCTTATAAAATGTGCACATTCAAATAAATATCCTTCATAAATAGGTTTCCATACACAAAAATGTTCTCCAAGTTTCCCAATAAGAAACACATTAAATATTATAAAAGGTAAGACTTTTGTTGGAGAGACTACAAGAAATCTATAACGAGCTAAAAGATGAGAATGAAATCAACATTATGGAAGAACATGGAAACAACACGAAACATTATACTATTATACTTATAAGTAAGATAACATATGTTAACATACATATTTTACATTTCCATGTAAAATAAATTAATCTTAAAAAATTAAATAATTAATTTAATTTCAATTTTGATATATACTTCTATAAATTATTTTTTGATACTTAGAATATAAATTTGTATTGATAAAATACGGAAAACAAACATATGAGCAAACATATATGTCATAAAACATATGTCTTAAAATATATAATTTCATTTAATATAATATTAGATCTAATATAATTATTATATTAGAAATATGAAAAATATTATACGGTTGCAAAAACATTTTATAATTAATAAAAGAAAGATGATGATTGGGAAAATAATTAGAGAAATAAAAATTCAAAACATATCATAATATTGTAAAATGTTAAAAAAATAATAAAACTTATACAATAACTGTTTGGAAATATTTTCAGTTTTTACCATATGTGCCGTGTCTATCCATACTACGACGCCATTTTTGATGCCGGTGCTTAATATTATTTTACATACAAATAAATCTCAGACATATCAAATACATGTCATAACTGAATATTTTATCGATCAAGAAAAATATTCCTATTTAATTTTGTTACACGTCAATATAGTTGTATGTATAGGGGCGGCTACAGTAACAGCAACAGGTACAATGCTCAGAGGATGTCTCATACATGCCTGTGGAATGTTTAAAATTGCCAGGTAAAGAAATAAACCTAAGAATAAATACAAAAGTTATAAATTTATTAATAAAATCTTAGTTTTAAATCAATATATATGCCAAAATTATATAATCAATTTATAGTTATCGCATTGAGCAAGCAATGACAATGAAGTTCAAAAAGTTTAGTACAAATAACGAGATTATGATTTACAAGGAAATAGGTTGTGCTATCGACATCCATCGTAAAGCTATGAAGTTGTATTGGTTTATATAGTATATGTGATATCAATCTATATATATATATATATATACAAAATTGTGATTCCATAGAATTTGTAATAATACTTTTTTTTAAGGTATTCCGAATTTTTATTATCCAGTTTTGAAGGATCATTCGCTTCATTAATATTAGTCGGTGTGATTTCGTTGAGTCTCAATCTTTTTTCAGTGAGTCGTTTTTTGCATTTCTTATATTCAATAATCTATAAATCATTTCGTGATGTTTAAGTTAGAAGACTAACAGATAAAAATTACAATAAAATTATCACAAAAAGATAAGAGACAAATTCGTCTGTAATTTATAAAAAATTTTCAAAAAAATTATTCAGATCATATTTATATTAGTGTTGTAATTTTATAGTAATATATATTTTTGTATGTAACATAATTATTAAATACACATAAAACATTAATAATAATTATAATATTTTAGGTTTTCCAAACTGCATCGCTTGGAAATAATGAGGAATGCGTAATGCATATTGTTATTTTGTTTGTCATTCTTTTATACATGTTCTTAGCTAACTATGTTGGACAAGAAGTTACAGACCACAATAATTACGTATATTCTACTGCGTAAGACATTGTTTCGTGCTATATTTGTGTGACTAATATTGTTGAATATTATATTTACTTGAATAGTAAAATTAATAAATATGGTAATATATTAATAAATATGGTAATTATATAAATATTATACTAAATGTGAAAATAATCAATACATTTTTATATATTCGCTGTATTATGATTGAATGCAGAAGGAAAAGGCGGATATTTTTAATTTGACAAAAGACAATTAATTTTATGGCACAATTCCTAATAATTTCAATTTTATACAGTATATACATACAATATACGCACGAATGCAACGTACGCATGCACGCACGCATGCACATACGCATGCACGCAAGCACTATGCTCACGCAACATTTATGATAATAAAGTAGTAATTTTAAAAAATCTACGTATGCGTATATACACGCCTTCTCTCTGCCCGTTTTCTCATCCTTTCTACAATTGCAATGACAACTGAAAGGAAATTTATAAATATCAAGCAGTCAGCAATTACTTAATCAGCGAACTTATTTATTTATTGTGATTATTTTATAGGTACAATGTTCGATGGTACATAGCACCCATACATACACAAAAATTAATTCTCTTTATATTGCAAAAGGGTAGCAAAGTCTTCGTTTTAAATGTTGGCAAATTATTTGGTGCATCGTTAGAAAGTTTTGCCACGGTAATGATAATTATCATCATACATTATAATAATTATAAATATTTTCGCATTCTCATGCAATAGAAGACATATTTCATTACAGTTAATAAAAGCATCGATGTCTTATTTCACCTTTATGTGTTCTATGCAGTAAAGCATATATATTATTTGAATCAACAGGCTGTGCAAGGTGCAATTCTCATAATTAAAAAAACAGAATATAATCTACGCAAAATTTTCACGAACTTAAATAATATGTTAATTTTATTTTACAACTATTGCACTGTAAAAAAACATACAATAACAAAAACAAGAATAAAAATTCATAATTATTTAAATATCCATCAAAAATATCTATTCATTTAAAACTTTCAGACTTTTAAAAAATATATAGATAGATTTGATATTAATATTTTCATTCAATTATACAAAATATAACCGATAAGAAATTGTCAGAAAAGGATCGAAAATTCGGGTTACAAAAAATATAACAGATTAACATGCATAATTAAAAATATGAATCTTTTAACAGAGTACAAGAATATAATTTTTTTTATGTAAATGAGTAGCACGTTGCAAATCACATTCATAAACTACTATATATACTACATACCTATATTTTATTACATATAGTATAGTTAACTCTATCTTCCATTTTTTCGATAATAATTTTGTAAGTAATTTGTGCTAACTCTTAAGATAACCCAATTTATGTTCAAAGAATGTAACATATTCAAGTAACGAATGCACGCACGGATATGAAATATCTAAAACAATGTTGCTAGAAAGGAGTGAGTCATGCTTGCGTATACTTCGATAAAGAAGTCATATTATAAGTGTTCTTGCTGTAAGAAATACACATTTGCTGTTTATTCGGCATTTTAAATGATTATCTCGATCGATCATCTCGTTACTTACAAAATTTTCAAGATTCACTAGAAAATTTTATTTTAGCTAATTCATCTCAAAATCATCTCGAAAATTGTCAAGAATATTATATTCCAAACTTAACATTTTGCATCTTTAATGCTCTGAGATGTCAACAATCAAATTGTGCAGGTAAAAAGAATATTTGAGGCGATAAAGCAATCAATTGATTTACGTTCATTTAAATTTGAAAAACGAACTCAATCATTTCTAGATATATACATATACATACAATTATGCGCTTTGTAACGCAATATTTAATCAGACATTTCCTGTACAGATTTTTAGGCAATTTTTTCTTTCTGAAAAAAAATAAAAATTTCAATTTATATAAACAATTTTAACTTTTAATATCCCAAATAATTAGGATCAT